ATGTTTATGATACTAGAGATTTTTATGACTAAAATAAAGTAATGACAGAAACATCTGATTAAATGATTTTACCTAACACGTCAGACAACTACATGTAATGTAATAGTAAATATAATCAACCGCCATTTAAATATCGAATAGCCTTGGGAAAAAAGAACTAAACTTTACAGCGATAAGAGAAAACCATTTAAGGGTTTCCTGATTTTTATCCGCTCATTTGCTGAGATAATGAGTATTTTAGACAATACATAACGTAAGTACTTTAAAAGATAATGTCAATCTAAATGTGAACTATTCAGAGAACACGTGTCAATAACTGACTTGTTGTGGCAACGATAAGCGTGTTTTCAGATTATATAGTATAAAACAAAAGTGGTAAAATATAATGTATATTTGAAATATTTAAACAAGCAACGAGCTCAGTTGTGACATAAAAAGGAATTAATATATATTTGCATAATAGCATATTTGAATATAAGTACAAGCATCATATTTCCTACCAGAACTTAACAATATTGTTACAAATTTCATAATTTCGTTTGTACTTTTCATTTTTAATTGGCTTTGATGTGATAATGGTAATATGCTATCCTTGAAGGTCTTCGTGCTATCTCGTTCATCATACACAGTGAGCAAATTTATGTTCTACTAAATAATAACTTAATTTTAAATAAAAAAGAAAACTCAATATGTGATGTTATACGATATATATGCTTTAAGTTTTCAAAACAAAAACAAAAGGTAACACATATTATTATTATCCCTCACTTGTTTCGTAATGTTAATTTCCCGTTGGCCTCTGGGAGTTATTCTTACTGCTAATGCAAGTGTGCCACGTGACTAACAATTTTGTACTGATACATAGGTAACAGTACTTTTTAACAGTATGAAATCTGGTCACGTGGTCTATTTTCTAAATAAAATAAAAATAAAATGGCCACCAATTTTGTCTCGGCTCATTCTTATTTTCGAAGTTCACCACGCTACGCCTCGCGTAACAGTATTTTTCCCGGGATGATATTTTATGTATACTAACGGTTTGATTTTTATAAAGAGCAATTCGAGTTAAGCTGTCTTAAAATGACGTAATGCTTACATTACATAAATGTAAATGATGGGTCAAAAAACATTTATTGTTGCTACAGTTTAATAGTCTAAATCATGTTTATAATCAATAACCCACATGACTCAAAGAAAATGTTTGATAAAAATATTGAGTCAGTATCTTTATATTTCAGGCAGTTATTAAATTTTATCCTAAATATTTTTTTTCAGTATAAATTTATGGTAAATGCCATTCATATTAGACAATCCAATCTTTGTCAATATAATAGCTAATTCTGCTCAACACTTAGATGTGAAAATCATCATTATGTTCCTATTATAATATTATACAAAATAATAAAATTCAATTTCAACATAATAGCTTGGTGCAAACTGATTGAGGCACTGGAGGGACAGAAAGATACTTTTTGAATTGTGACAAGTATCATTTTAATTTCAATGTACTAAATACTTAACATCTAATGTAGAATGATTAAACAATGACACATTTCTAGATCCGCCAATAATAAAATGTGTCTTACAAATTTGAAGTATTCACTAAATATATAAGCAACAATGTAGTTATAACATACGTACCATATCATATATTACTTTTCTCCTGCTGTATTGTCCGAACTTGTTATCTTTTTCTCAAGCCGGAATTTCAATGTATAAAATTACAATAAGTTAAATTTCTCAGAACGATATTCTGGCACATGGTCACCAGACACGTTATTCTACCACGCTGTAAGCTGATTGATGGGGAACACGTACACAAAGGGAAATTCTCTGCCTACATGGCCTAATGAGATAGTTAATCCCGTATAATTTATTACTAGTATTAATTTATAATTTCATATTACTGTATAGTGTGGATTTTTATTCTCTTAATTTAAGCACGCACAATATACATGTACATGTATAGTTGTTAGTTTCAGTCATTTAGGTTTCAAGTTAATGAAGTACTGTAAACGTCCGTCTTATCAACAACGTTAAACCGTTATACAGAAAACCTGGTTAATAAGATGTAACTTCATAGAAGACTTGTAAACCAAAGGTGTCTATATAACACCGTTTGTTCAATTATTGACTTTCTGTCAACAGAACATACCAATCATAGAGTATGCTGTGCTAGTTTTATGAGCATATTTTAAAAATATAATATAGATGAGTAGTGTGTTAAAGTGGCATTAATTATTCGCCGCGTTTCGAAACTCATGATTTGTTCAGCCACATAGAAAGTTTCTAGACAGGTTATGCTACTACGAAAATCTCATATAATGTAATAATGTATATTTTCTATAACATATTTTAAAAAAAAACAATTAATATTAAAATATTTTTACTTGATTAACAAAAATATGTTCATTAGTTACTGGAAATCAATTCTATATTAAACAATTGTTTACGCAAACTCGTTGTGAACAATGATATTTTATTATTAGGATACGCTTCGGTGTATGACATAATTTTTCTTTCTTAAAATAAAATCCTCTTTATTCTGTAATGATGAAGAATACACACCCAAACTTGTGTGGAAAGAACAGAAATTCAATTCTGTATTATCGTTAATAGCAATACCCATTGTAAAGAATCGTTAACTTTTAAAATGCCAGGCTGATTTCTAACCATATCCTATACACATGAATAACTGAAAATTGTGTCTGAACTTTGATAATTAACTTTTTAGAATGACTTCTGTATCAGGAATGTGACTGCTTTAATTTGAACTTTATAAAGGTGGTCTTGTGACCAATGATATATTTTATTATTCGTATATTTAACAAAATATGTTTTACTAACTTATATAAGATAAAACATACAAATCCTAACACCAGACTAAGAGCAGACTTACAGAATATTAGAACAAGGAATACTGGCATGAACGTTGTCCTATGATACTATATTTCAGTGGAAAAAATCTATTCCCAAAGCTTCTAAACTACTTATTTTAGTACATGTAGCTATATCAGTATGACATTTTCAAATTTGACACGAAACGTCTGGCAAAGTAAACAAAATCTGATTTACTTAAAATATTAAAATGCTTTTGATGTATTCGCTGTCATTTGCTTGAAAGGTAACACAATTGTGTCAATATGTAAGAGCAGATGCTACTATTTTCTTTGTATTTTTTCTTTAAAAAGGTTGCTGAATAAATCAGTAATATGTTTACGTTGACACCGGTAGTCTTGTTTACATTTTGTCAGAAATAAATTTGGATAATTCGTGTGTTTTAGACGGTTTTGTGAACTATAAACAGTGATTATGTGATATATATAGTGTTTGGAGTTATATGGATTAATCAGAGGTGAAAATTTTGACATTTTGAAGATTTGATGAGTTTAAATTGTACATGTACTACCTGAATGTAGCTATTTATAGTAACAGTCATTGACTTGTATAATAAATCGATAGTGGTCACTGTATACCTGTCCACTTGATTGGCGATTCGTCACGCTTGACTTGAGCGCAGCGGAGTACTAGAGTACACATTGGAACATTTCGCTCGTCAGTTTACGCTCGACTAAAATATGAAAAACGCTAAATTTGGAGCGGATTTGAACAGTACAAGCGAGGCAGAGGAGTACGTAGAGTCGATCATGGCCTCGCAGCTTATCACGAAAATTAATACACCTGTAACTTCTGGTCGCAAGCGTCATTTATCTGAACCAGATATTGCGACAACTGTGAAGAAACAGCCATGCATTGAAGCTAAAGCTAAACGGTCTCTTTACACGGATACACCTCAGAAATCACGCCAAGTTGTTGTGACGTCAGCTGACATACATGTTGATGGCAATGCATCTGTTGAACAGCTGAATGCAACTTTATCGGCTGATATGCACATGCTGTTTTCCTCCCTTAATGAACGAGTTGAGAAGATGGAGAATGGACTGGAGCAGAAGATTTCAGAAAAAGTTGCCAAGGTACTCGATAAACGTGTAAACACTGAGATGACACGTATTCGTAACGTTGTTGACACCAAGATTGAAGATGCAAAGATGGCTATTAAGGCAGATTTGAAGGCAGATATTGATGTTTTAAGTGCCAAGATTGAGTCTATTGCATCAGTAAGTAGTGCTTCGGCCCAAAATGACTCGGGTGATGACAAATCTTTGAATATTGTAATACGCGATCTGCCGGAGTCTGCAAATGAGAATGTGAAATCCAAAGTTGACAAACTTTTCAAAGATGGTCTTCGTGTTAGTGATGTCAGATGTGTCGCTGCTGATAGAAAGAAATCTAGAAATCCAAATAAGTCTGGTGTTATTATTGCAAAATTGAAATCGCATGACGATAAACGTAAAATCATGTCAAAAAAGGCATCCTTAAACTTTTGTAAGCAGTATGGGAATGTGTTTATTCAGCATGATCAGGCTCCGGCTGACCGAGTTCTTACTAGCAACTTCAGGAGTATTCTGAATGCCATGAAGTCACACGGCCTCACAGTGCTTGGATCGCGCGTTATTCCACGTAGGTCTCGTGACGATAGCAGCAGTTTTCAGGATCGTGATGCCAATGGCAGCAAACATCACGGTTCAACCGTACGTGGCCAGCGGGAAGATTCCGGGAACCATGATGACTCTCACGATCGCAGAGATCGAGGGGATCGGTCTGATAGGAGTGATCATGGTAACAGGGACCGTGATGATGCTTTCAGGTCTGTGCACCATGGCCGGCGATTCGGACGTGGAAACGGCGGGCAACGTGGAAATGGTGGTCGTGGATGGAATCGTGGTGGCAGGAGGTCTTTCGGTTAAGTGCCGGGTTTTGGAACGTTAAGGGATGGAATTTTGAAAGTATCTCTGATAATTTTAAACTTAGAGTCGAATGTGTTTTAGACAATAATTTTGACATTTTAGGCATAGCCGAATCTCATCTTATTAAAAGTGATGTTTTAACAATTGATGGTTATCGTTGGTTTGGTCTTAATAGAGCAAATATACATAAAAATGCACGGACCGGCTCTGGAGGTGTTGGATTTCTTGTAAAAGAATCTCTTTTCGAAACATTTGACATTAATATTGCTGATAATTCTTCAGAAGGTATTTTATGGTTAAAATTATCCCACAAGTTTGAAAACATGAATATTTATCCATGTGTCTGCTACCTACCCCCACAAAATTCATCTCGTTTTTTCGATGTAAATCATTTTTATGACAAATTGTTGACTGATATATATTTGTTTCAGACGCAAGGTCGTATATTTATCTGTGGTGATTTTAATAGTCGCGTTGGAGAACTAGATGATCATATTGCTGGTATTGATCAGATTCCTAGTCGAGATGTAAAAGACTATACTGTAAATGCATATGGTGAAATTTTGATTGATTTCTTGATTAACTCTAATTTCTGTATTTTGAATGGTAGAAATTTTACAAAAAATGATTTTACGTCTGTTTCGGTGAAAGGAGCGTCGGTTGTTGATTATTGTCTAGTGCCACATGACAGTATGGACCATTTTTCAGATTTCTGTGTTACACTTACGTCAGATGTTATCAATAATTGTAAGAATATTATTAAATTTGCTCCGTCGTCGATACCTGACCACTCACTTTTATCCTGGAATATATTATGCAATATCACACGTAAAAAAACTGAACATTTTGGTAATACTAGTGATTCTTATGATAAATTTGACAGAAGCTATTTTAGTAATGATTTTTTGTGTAATAGTGATATTCTGTCAGAGGTAAATAGTACGATTGATACATTGGAACAAGGTATGCGCACACAAAATGACGTAAATATAGCCTATGACAAATGGTGTGAAATTGTTAAAAATGCTATGTATGAAAATGTACCTTATAAATCTATAAAGATAGGACCTGGCACGGGTTCTAAAAAACGTCGTCCAGGTAAACCTTGGTGGACGGATAATCTTAGTGATCTGTGGTGTAAATTGTCAATTGCAGAAAAGCAGTGGTTGCAATGTTATAATAGAGCTGATAGAGTTTCTTTTAAAGCTAAATATGCTAGTATCCGTAAAGAGTTTGATGCAGAAGTCCAAAGGGCTAAGGGCCGTCATTGTTACAACCTTCAGAAGGATATATTAAATGAATGTAATGTTGATCGTTCTAGTTTCTGGAAATCTGTTGGTAGAATTGGTATAACTCAAGCTAACAAGAAAATAATTCCTGATGAAGTTGTTCTGGCTGACGGCTCTGTGTCCGCGGATCCTAGTGATGTTTTACTTAAATGGAAAATAGAATTTAGTAATTTGTTTAATAATCCAAATGTATCTTGTGATAACAGGTATAATATTGTAAATGGTGATTATGATACACTAAGTTTTAACAGTGATATTTCTGTTTTGGAAGTCAAAAAAGTTATTGATGAAGGTAAACTTGGAAAAACAAATGGTATAGATGGAATACCCACTGAAGCCTTAAAGAATGACACTGCTGTTATGTTTATGCACGCTCTGTTTAATGTATGTTTTAAAAGTGGTACTATTCCAAATATTTGGGGTAAAAATGTCATTAACCCAATTCCTAAGTCCGCAAGTATGGATCCAAGGAACCCATTATCATATAGGGGAATTTCTTTAACTTGTTCTGTTTATAAACTCTATTGTGCTATATTAAATAATAGACTAAGTAACTGGGCTGAAAATCGAGATGTCATTGTTGACGAACAGAATGGGTTTAGAAAGAAAAGAAGCACTATTGATCATTTATTTACGCTAACAAATATAATTGATACTAGGAAAAAACGTAAACAGTCTACATTTGCTGCTTTTATTGATTTTAAAAAGGCATATGATTATATAAATAGAGATTTACTATGGAAAAAATTGTATGACATAGGTATAAAAGGTAAAATGTTAGGTGCTGTACAATCTTTGTATGATTCTGTATATTCATGTGTAAGAATTAACTCTAAACATACTGATTGGTTTACTGTTAAGTCTGGATTACGTCAAGGCTGTATATTATCTCCCCTTTTGTTTAATTTATATATAAATGATCTTGCTGTTTACCTGAAATCTCTTGATATTGGTGTTGACTATGGATCTGATAAAATATGTATGTTACTTTATGCAGATGATATTGTCTTGTTGGCAAAAGATGAGAAAGATTTACAATGTTTATTAAATGCACTTAACAACTGGTGTAGCACCAACGATATGTTTATAAATAGTAGTAAAAGTCAAATTGTCCATTTTAGACCTTTATCTGTATGTAGAACATCGTTCAGTTTTATATGTGGTGTTCACACACTTAATATCGTTGATAGATATATGTATTTAGGATTAATGTTGCAAGAGCACTTAGATTTCAATGTTACTGCAAAGGTTGTAGCTCAAAGTGCAAGTCGGGCTCTTGGCCTTCTTATTGCTAAATGTAAATCGTCTGGTGGTCTTCCGTACGATGTATTTACCCACCTATATGATTCTACTGTTTGGCCAACAATCAGTTATGGTTCTGCTATCTGGGGTTATCGCTCTTACTCGTGCGTTAACGCAGTGCAGTTTCGCGCTATGCGTTTCTTTTTAGGTGTCGGTAGATATACGCCTAACGTCGCGGTTTCCGGTGAAATGGGATGGATATCCCCAGAAATCAGACAGTGGAAATCCATTGCTATTCATTTATCTAGAGTCTCTTATATGCTTGATTGTAGAGTAAACAAACGAGTTGCACTTTGTATTGCATCTGCAGCAATTAAATCATGTTAGAACTGGTTTTTCTATGTTAATGATATGTTAAAAAATTGTAATGCGCACCAATATAGTGATATAAGAATTTCCATTCTAAAACATACTATAGTGAATATTGTTACAACTAAATTGCAAGAAAAATTTGTTTTAAACTGGCTCGAATCTTTGAATAGTGTCACAGGTCCTTCTGGTCGTGGTGGCAATAAGTTGCGTACATATCGACTGTTTAAAACAGAATATGAGACAGAATTATATTGTAAACTCATTATGCCTCCTTGTCATCGCACTGCATTTAGCAATTTTCGTTGTGGTGTTGCGCCTTTACGCATAGAAACTGGGCGTTACGAAGGCTTAGATGTATTGGAACGAAAATGCCAGTTCTGTGACAGTATTGAAGACGAAAGCCATGTCATTCTTGATTGCTTTGTGTACGATGACTTGCGACAATCATTATTTGATAAGGCTAAAATAGTAGATAGTGCATTTGTACAAATGTCTAAAAATGAACAATTAATATTTCTGTTCACTAAAACTGAAATGATACGTTATTGTGCCAAAACCTGTTTTAACATTCTACAACGTCGTCTTTTATTCTCTTGTAAATAATGCCATTATATTTGCTTTAAACATGATAATGTATTTTACCTAGGATAAGGTAATCCTTGCTAATCAGGTCATGCAAGATATTATCTTGGATGATAATCGATCTTTTAAAACGTTTTTATAGGCGCGATAGGGCTCCGATTTACAATTCTCAATTTCTTAGCAGTTTTTATTTTTCGATTAGCGATGGTTACCTTACTTTTAATATTTTGTTTAAATACATTGTAATTTTACTATTTGATTTTAGTCCTAGACTAACTGTATAGGTCTTGAATATGTTTATTATTGATATAATGTCTCTTAAAATTCTTGAATAGAATGGTCGTATGCAGAATTTATGTGAATATGTGTAAATATGTATAAAAATGTATGTATACGAATGAGACAAAAATAAAGTATGAATATATAAATCATTTAAAACGTATTATACAATGTAATGCTACAAATAGTGTATTATTTGTTATGTCAATGTATTTTTGCAGATGATATAATTTGTTCATATTTTATATTGTATATGGCTCGTTGAAAAGAAATAGAAAATACAACATTTTTTTTTCTCCGAAATTAAACAGATAAGTCCAGAATTAACCAAATATATTAAATTATTATTTTTTTATTTCTAAATGTTTCTTACTTTTTTATTATCACACTAGCACATAAAACATTTTAAATTTAATAATATACTACATGATCGTATTTATAGTTAATATAAATGATTAAATATGACAGAGAAACATATGTTTATAAATAGATAACAACCACTACTATAGTTAGAAAATACCAACAATGTCATTCCTTTCTGATCACAACAACGAAATAAAAATAGGAATATCAACTGGCTGTCTACTTACTGTTAATGATAACTGACATGTATGAAGCTTTATGATAATTCAAAGTGAATATTAGATTAAATACACACCTAAACTTGTAAACTTGTGTGGAAAGAACAGAAATTCAATTCTGTATTATCGTTAATAGCAATACCCATTGTAAAGAATCGTTTACTTTTAAAATGCCAGGCTGATTTCTAACCATATCCTATACACATGAATTACTGAAAATTGTGTCTGAACTTTGAAAATTAACTTTTTAGAAATGACTTCTGTATCAGGAATGTGACTGTTTTAATTTGAACTTTATAAAGGTGGTCTTGTGACCAATGATAAATTTTATTATTCGTATATTTAACAAAATATGTTTTACTATTATCCCTCTTAAACTTATATAAGATAAACCATACAAATCCTAACATCAGTCGAAATATTGTATTGTATTGTATTGTTTTGTATGGAATTTCGTATTGTATGTGTTACGATCAATTTCCATCATTTCAAAACATCTAGAGCTCGAAATGTGTCAAAACGATTGGGAATTTAAATAAAGAATTATTTACTGTTTAATATTCTCCATTGTATCCTATACAAATTCGTTCGACAATCTGCATTGTATTCAAATATAATGTATTTACAACTGGTCAATAAGCTGCGCTCATTTTAAAGTCAGTATTTTTAAATACGTTTGTATAAGGCACCATTTCACTTCACCGGGATTGACATGTCTGACACTTCTTGAAAGTACAGGTTGATTAAATAAAATATTTCTAACGGCTTTTGGTAATACTTGACATTGATAGGTCATTATGTCTAGGAAATTCTGTCCTCAATTTTACAAGGCTATTCATCAGCTCTAAACGAACTATTAAACTGTGTGGCATATACAAAAGTTTAATCAATCAAACTCAATTTTTCTGTTAATATTCCCAGAATAAAATCATTTGTAAAAAAGGAAAAAAATTGAATTAATTCTATTAAATTGATAAATAGAAGCACGATTGAAACATGCAACATAAATAAAGAATGAAATCAAATGAATCAAAAGTCATACAAATTATATTTATGTTAAAACAAGAGCTCAAAGCTTAAGTCGTTTATATAAATATGTGTCTGTTACACTCAAATATATTAATTTTTCTAATTAATATGCAGGATACGAAAGGATCATGTTCTTCAAATGTTTGAAATCAAGTATTTCCCCTTTAGGAAAACGTACGGTGCTTATGTTTAATTATTTTGTGTTGATGCTTATTAAGATTAATTAAACGCTTTATCTAAATGCAAAGGCGAAAAAGAATATTAAATTAAACGCATTAAATCTAAATTAGTTTTACTTATAAATTAAATATTCTTCTTTTTCGGAGACAAAATAACTTTACACGCTCTATAAACTTTTTTCTAGAATGTTATGTTACATGTTATTTAATTAAGTAATGTTTAGGCCAGATCACGTTTCTTCGGTTAGTTTCTGTCGGTATTCAATAGTTTTATATTTTCAATTATTTTCTACTAGCCGAACATAAAATGTTAAAGAAGTGTTTAACAAAATGTATAACTAGTATTCAGAGAAATAGAAAAAAAGCAAACAGAAACTTACATTGAAATAATAATAATACAATAAGACGTTATATATTACCAATACATTTATTTCAATTATTATTGAATTCCTGTAAATAGCAAGCGAAAAAAATGCCATTAATAGTGGGCGAAGAATAACGTTTTATTATTTTAAGTGACATCTTATGAAAATAGTTACAGATTTATAAATTTTTGCTCTCAATTATACCATTTATTTTCATGTCTACGCAGCATCTTTTTACAAATATCACAGAAACAAATGAAGAGAAAAAATATATTAACTTACAAAACATGTTCAAAGTCTAACAAATTATTTTGAAGAAATTTAACAAGCACTTCATTATTAAACAGCACGCTCGTCTATTCTTAGTGCTTGATAGTAAAAGAGCCTTGATAAAGTAAATTTCACAAAAGGGCATCAAAACTCCAAACCGGCGTTAAATAGCCGATAACCACAGCTAACACCGATATTATTTCTTGAATATATGTTCATTTATTAGAATCTAAAATATTGTTAAACTGATTTTGAGTGAAACTAAAATATCTTCCGTTTGTTTCGGCTGTGTTAGTTAGCTGACATTTTGAGTGTAGCATATATTATATTGGGTTAAGGTCATTCATAAGTTAAACGATATTTCACTTGAGATTTATTTTTTTGATAAGTATGTCAAAAGTATTGAAAGAAATTGATTATTCATTTAAATGGATAGTGTCGTCAAATTTCCTCCTGTCTGTTATTTCATATTCGACATCAGATTTAATCAGTAGATCTTTTGTCACAAAATTAATTGTTGTCATTTCATTCCCTCATAAAATGTTGAATAGTTATACGAAAACATAATTTAATCAGTTATAGAAATTTGTTGTGTTTGTGATAGATGGAAATGACAGCAAAATCCAATGTTGAGATATATTGTATCACATCTTCAAGATCTATATATGAGTCGCGCATTGACAAAACCAACATAATGTTTTTGCGACCAGCATGGATCCTGACCAGCCTGCGCATCCGCGTATTCTGATCAGGATCCATGCTGTTCGCTATCAGTTTCTCTACTTGTAATAGCGTTTGTAAGCGAACAGCATGGATCCTGATCAGAATACAACATTATTTTAGATTACAAACGCTATTACAAGTAGAGAAACTGATAGCGAACAGCATGGATCCTGATCAGAAAACGCAGATGCGCAGACTGGTCTGGATCAATGCTGGTCGCAAAAGCATTATATTGATTTTGTCATGGCGCGGCTCAATTATAATGCTTTTTATTTCTTTCAGTGAGAATACAAAATCAATTCAGAAATAAAGCCTAAAGTAAATAATCATCAGTGTAATTCAAGTATAATAATCGTCATTTAAAAAGAAATCCAAAAGGGGAAGAACCGTTATTGATATATTACATTTTAAATACAAGGATATATTTTGTATTACGAATTTATTTCATTTCAAATTTCCTAGTGGTATAAAGCTCGACTTGTATGCAAGTAGTTGTTAGTTCGAGTCTCAAACGGCGAAGTTCTTCTTTGTTTCTCTAAACGTTTTAATTATTGCTTTGTTATTGTATTTTATTAACTTTCTGTTTCAGCACTATAGTATTGATCTAATAAAATATGGCTGTTTCAGTAAAGTACACTATTTGATAAGCACGTCAGTAGCAACGAGCGACGAAATATATCTAAACATAGTGGCTGGCTTTTTGTTTATTTATTTATTTATCTTGCGTTTTGCATAAATGAAAATATGGAGCTAGTTTACAAAAGTAAATGCACGGTTAAACATAATTAATTGTATTTAAATTTCAATCATTATTGTTTTTATTTCTCATAATTTTAGTTTTTTATTTTAGATTCGATAGAGGTAAATAACTAATTTCTTTTAAATATCAAGCGATAAATACAATTCCAGTTTAATAACAAAGATCTTCCACAATATTTATCTTTATTCAATCTGTTTAGTGATTTTCACCATCCTAAAATGTCATGATTATTTTTCAAGAAACGTCA